GTGCACACTGCTCCCAGGAGCTGCAGGGAGATCCTGTCAGTCCCAGCAGGGGCACAGTGGCCCCTCAAAGCAGCAGCTTCACTGCAGGAGCTGCTGGTGCCAGGAGAGCTGGGGCTTTTGGAGAGCATCTCAAGCCCCATGGGAACTTTAAAATGATAATTTTTATATAAACAGCTTGATTTACCCAACAATTGCCCTTTCCATCATTTAACACTGCACAGGGTAGCACCACTCCCCTAAAACCAGCTGCTGCTGTTCCCATTTTGGGGCTGAGGTTGGAATATTTGCTCAGGTTTGCAAGTTCTTTCCCTCAGAGCACCAAGTGATTTGTGCACTTCCCCTTGAGGTGGGTATTTGCTTTGTGCTGTTACTCTTTGCCTGTAAGTTGATTTTTTTTTTTTTCTGTCTGAGGGTGCTTTTGAGCATTTATAGAGCACTGAAGGATTAATCTTGTGGAGAGGCAGCTGGGGCAGGAGGGGGCTGAGGGGTCCCAGCCCAGCCCTGCTCCCCTGGCTCCTCATTCCCCCTCTCATCTCTCTGCGTGTTTTTGCTGTTCCACACCCACCTCTCTGCATTTCCTCACCCTTGAGGATCCCACATTTCCCCCCTGCACTCAATAGCACAGGATCTTCTCCCTGCTCATCTCTCAGTGCCTTTTAGGCTGAGATTTCCCTGCCCTAAGCCCAAAAATGTTTCATTAAGAAATCAGAAGGCTGCAGCCGTTCATCTGCACTGCTCAGTGGCACTGAGGGCAGCTCTGGTTGGCTTTGGTGAGTGCTCTCCTCATCTCAATGTCCCACTGCCACCAATTCAGAATGGAAGCCTAGGAAATAAAAGCACCTTCATCTTCTTTATGGACACTTAAAACCTCCCCAATCAATAGCTGGCAGAGCAGAGGAGGTTTGTGTGAGAATGGCTGGGGTGTATTGCTTTCAGTGAGTGTGTAACAGAGTTTAAAAGGGTTGATTATTCATCTGTGATGTGTTTTTAGTCTAGGAATCAATAACCTCATTTGTGGGGAAAAAATGAAAGTGAGCTGAGTGCCTCTCCT